AGACCACTTGTGACTCCACTATTTAATTATCATTAACAGAATAGAGTTAAAGATAACGGAAAAAATTATGGGAGAATTTGAGTTTGCACCCCATGTTTTGGGTAATATTTGACTTTGCACCCCATTTTTAAAATCATTAATGTATGCACCCCATTAGCCCAAACATTGTGAAGGAGTGGGGTGCAAATCAAATAATTTTATAGTGAATTGGGGTGCATACATTAATGATTTTGAAAATATGGTGCAAAGTCAAATATCACCCAAAACATGGGGTGCAAAGTCAAATTCTCCCAAAAACTATCTACGGTACAATAACTAAAGCAATGACGGAAAAAAGACCACAACCAGTTATGACACTTAGTACTCTTAAGTGTGAAAAAACCAAAAGGCTTTCAAATACACGTAATACGTAGTGAACTTACTAGATATCAAACTATAAAAAACGATTCCAATGCAGAAGTCTCACGGTCCAACTTTTAGTGTCCGTTTGGAATTTTTAATATTAAAATATGAGTAAATTTAATCCTTTTTATTTAAATTATTGACTGATCAGCTACCCTGTTAATATACTCCCTCGCTGTTTTGAAGATAGATTGATCGCTCCTCTTCCGTAGATGCAATACGAAGTATTTTTTTACTTGCTCCCATTTGGCATCCAAAAAAATCATTTGTTTACTCCAGTCTCCAGCGATCAAAACAAAAAATCAAATTTGTATTGTTTGGGTGTGTATATATTGGTGTAGTTGCATGTTTTAGATTCATCATAAATAATTACAGACTAGGTAGGTTTGCATCATCACGACTATATATACTCCCTCCGTCTCACCGGATTTTGACAACTTTCCATTTTTGTTTGTCCCAAACAACTTTGTCACTTTCCTTTTACATCAATGTTTTTGTGTGGCTCTGTCCCGAATTTAATTTGCTCAAAAAATAGTTTACTTTTAAGCTTATTTAGAAATATTAAATTGAAACAATGTTTTATAATTTAGTATTAAATTAGAAATTGTTTAGGCTACAAATGAACATTACCACAAACTAAAGTAAGAAAGCAAAGATGGAAGCTGACTAGCTATTTAATTTATAAGTCCTGTGTCCTGATTCAATTAACCATAGTAAGACATTTTATTAGCATTTAATAAGTCCAATTGGCGTAATATAATGATGAAGATTTGCGAGAATGGTCCAAATGACATGCATGCATGATCGTGCACCATAATCTTGAAGATTTATAAGAATGGGTCCAAATGACATGCATGCTCATGCACCATCGGAGGTCACACAACATTATGGAAACTTTTCTTTGAGCAAATTAAACTCAGTTAGCATTAATATAATCATTGTCTAATACATGAATAATAAGTGAGACACGAACATGCACGCAACATTAGCAATTGCACGAACCAACATACACCACAACACCCGTAGGCATGACCCAACAAATCAATTAAGAGATATAATGATGTTTTTGGAAGTATCTGTGTTGTTGTTTCTGCTGCCATTCAGAAGTTTGGTTTACAACCCCTTTTAAATTTGATATTGTTTTAAAGTAAGATATCCACCATAGCAACAAAACATGAACATATATAATTATAATCATTTTTTTGAATTCAAAATACTCCATACGATTTATTCAGTCTTAATAAAAGAACTACTCCCTCCGTTCCTAAATAAATTTCCAACTTTTCTTTTTCGTCCGTTCCAATTAAAACTTCCACTTTCCCTTTTTGGTAAAGAATTTGTGGTTCACAACATTTCTTACATATTTCTCTCTCCTCTGCACAACTCTCCACCACACAATATCCACTATCTTAAACTTTGTGCCAAACCCATTTGGAAGTTAAAATGGGAACGGAGGTAGTACGATTTAAAGTTCCCTTTTAAGCTTTGAACAAAGTGGTTCATGCAGTTCTGTGCATGTTCAGTGTCTAATTTTAGTATTCATGTATTAGACAATGATTGTATTAATGTTATGTGAATTCAATTTGCTCAAAAAAAAATCCTTTTAAGCTTATTTAGAAACATTAAATTGAGACAATGTTTTATGATTTAGTATTAAATTAGAAATTGTTGAGGCTACAAATAAATATTAGTACATACAAAATTAATAGAGAGAGATGGTCTTTTCACTTATACACACCCAAGTAAAATTAATAAATGAAACTAACTATATATAATTGAGATAGTGCAAGATAATGCAATTAAGTGTTTAAACTATTAAATGGCTTCATACACTAATTATGGACGTCATCGATCACACATGTGAACCCACATGCACCACAACACTCGTGGGCATGACCCAGGTAATTAATTAAGTGTTATAATGATGTTTTTGGAAGTATCTACATTGTTGTTTCTCCTGCCATTCAGAAGTTTGGTTCACAGGCCCTTTTAAATTTGATTTTTTTTAAACTATATAATCTAGCAAAGCAACAAACATGAATATATATAATTATAACCATTTTTTATATTTAAAAAATACTCCATACGATTTATTCAGTATTAATGAAAGAACTACGATTAAAGTTCCCTTTTAAGCTGTGAACAAAGTGGTTCATGAAGTTGCTAATGTTGCGGCATGTTTCGTGTCTCATATTATTATTCATGTATTAGACAATGGTTAAAGTAATGTTATCTGAATTTAATTTGCTCAAAAACAAGTTTCCATTTAAGCTTATTTACAAAAATTAAATTGAAGCAATGTTTTATGATTAGTATTAAATTAGAAGTTGTTTAGCTACAAATGAATATTACTACAAAGTAAATTAAGAAAGCAAAGATGGAAGTTGGTTAGCTATTTAATTTATAAGTCCTGAGTCCTTATTAAATTAACCATAGTAAGACATTTTATAGTGTTTAATCAGGCTTAGTGGTTTATTAGTTGGGTTGGCATAATTTGAAGTTTGTAAGAAAGGGTCCAGATGGCATGCATGCTTATGCACCGTTGAAGGACACATAACATTAAGGAAACTTTTTTTATCAAATTAAATTCAGATAGCATTAATATAATCATTGTGTAATAAATGAATAATAAAATGTGTCACGAAACGTGCACGCAACATTAGCAACTGTATGAACCACTTTGTTCAAAGATTAAAAGGGAACTTTAGTCATTGTTCTTAAATTAAGGCTAACTAAATTGTATGGAGTATTTTGAATTCAAAAAAAATGATTATAATTATATATGTTAATGTTTTGTTGCTATGTTGGATAACTTAGTTTCAAACAATATCAAATTTAAAATGGGTTGTAAACCAAACTTCTGAATGGCAGCGGAAACAACAATGTCGATACTTCCAAAACATCATTATAACACTTAATTAATTGGTTGGGTCATGCCCATGGGGGTGTTGTGGTGCATGTTGATTCATGCAATTGCTAATAATGCGTGCATGTTTCGTGTCTCACTTATTATTCATGTATTAGACGATGATTATATTAATGCTATCTGAGTTTAATTTGCTCAGAAAAAAGTTATCTTAATGTTTTGTGTCCTCCGATGGTGGATCAGCATGCATGCCATTTGGACCCATTCTTACAAATCTTCAAGATTACAGTACACGAGCAAGCATGCATGTCATTTGAACCATTCTCGCAAATCTTCATCATTATATTACGCCAACCCAGCTGCAATAATAAACCACTGGGCTCGGTTAAATGCTAGTAAAATGTCTTACTATGGTTAATTTAATCAGGACTCAGTACTTATAAATTAAATAGCTAGCCAGCTTCCATCTTTGCTTTCTTACTTTAGTTTGTAGTAATATTCATTTCTAGCCTAAACAATTTCTAATTTAATACTAAATCATAAAACATTGTTTCAATTTAATTTTTCTAAATAAGCTTAAAAGGAAACTTTTTTTACAGCAAATTGAATTCAGATAACATTAATACAATCATAATCTAATACATGAATAATAAAATTAGACACGAAACATGCACGCAACTGCATGAACCACTTTGTTCAAAGCTTAAATGGGAACTTTAATCGTAGTTCTTTTATTAAGACTGACTAAATCGTATGGAGTATTTTGAATTCAAAATAAAAGTATAATTATATATGTTAATGTTTTGTTGCTATACTGGATAACTTAGTTTAAAGCAATATCAAATTTAAAAGGGGTTGTAAACCAAACTTCTGAATGGCAGCAAAAACAACAACAACGTAGATACTTCCAAAAACATCATTATAACACTTAATTAATTGGTTGGGTCATGCCTATGGGTGTTGTGGTGTATGTTGGTTCATGCAATTGCTAATGTTGCGTGCATGTTCCGTGTCTCACTTATTATTCATGTATTAGACAATGATTATATTAATGCTAATTGAGTTTAATTTGCTCAAAGAAAAGTTTCCTTAATGTTGCGTGTCCTTCGATGGTGCATGAGCATGCATACCATATGGACCCATTCTTATAAATCTTCAAGATTACGGTGCACGAGCATGCATGCATGCCATTTGGACCATTCTTGCAAATCTTCATCATCAGATTACACCAACCCAGTTGTACTAATAAACCACTAGACCCGGTTAAATGCTAATAAAATGTCTTACTATGCTTAATTTAATAAGGACTCAGGACTTATAAATTAAATAGCTAGCGAGCTTCCATCTTTGCTTTCTTACTTTAGTCTGTGGTAATTTTCATTTGTAGCCTAAACAATTTCTAATTTAGGATGTTTTTACTTGGACTGTAATTTGCTGGTCTGGTCTGGTCTGGTCTGGTCTGGTCTGGTCTGAAATTTTATTTTTTATATTTTTTGCATACTGATTTTATTATATATATATATATATATATATATATATATATTAATCCATTAATAATTATATTTTATTCATTTATAATTAAAAATAATAATATTCCTTCCAAATTATCGAAAATTGTTATCGTTGTACTTGGACTGAAGCTTATCAGACCAGATCGAAGCAGACCAGACCAGACCAGACCAGACCAGACCAGATCAGACCAGATCAGACCAGACCAGACCAGACCAGACCAGCAAATTACAGTCCAAGTAAAAACATCCTAAATACAGAACAACTTAAACTAGACCAGACCATATCAGACTACACTGAACTGGTCCAAATAAGAACAGGACAAAAGATAAAATTAGGGGATTGGCCGAGTATAGTCACACACATATATATAAAACATCCTAAAAACAGAACTCGCCTCTTCCTGTTCTCGCCCAGCTCGCCAAGAACTTTGTCCGAGGTATGTTACTTTTTTTTTGGATTTCTTCTCCATATGTTTTTGTTGATTTTCCTATGCACCTATAAACCTTATTTCTGCACATTACTTTTTTCTTCCAATCGTAATTAATATTTTGATTATTATACATATTGTGTGGTTTAAGTTTGACGTTACACGTACCTATTCTAAAAGAGCACTTCGTATTTGCTGCTTATTGAATTGGTCAAGGGTTTCCTTGACATAAAAGAGCACTTCTTGTTTGGTGCTTATTATAATGTTCGGATGCTTATTATAATGTTTGCCTCTCCCATATTGAAACTTCTTCCAACCGAGAATATGGAGATTTTTTGTGTGAGCAATGTTGTTTTATGAATAACTTCCGATCTCTTGTTCAAATAGAAGAAAATATTTGTTCAATTTTTCGTGTTAACGCGGATTGGACCTCATTGGTAATTTTTATAATTATTTCGTATCACGCTAGTACTGGACCTCATTTATGATTGAAGAAAGCTAGTTAATATAATTGTTGCGTAAGTTTTATATTTTTGAAGTCTGCAAATTTAATTCATATAAAAGTCTATGGATTTATAGAAATCCCTATAAATCAATAGAAATCCATAGACTTTTTAAAAGTCATTCACTTAAAAGTCATTCACTTAAAATCGGTGGACTTTTTTAAAAGTTCATGGATTAAAAAAAGTCTATCACAATCCATATACAATACACCCCCCTTATTTTTTGAATATTGCAAACCTTATATAGTGTCGTGCTTTTTCCCTGAATATGACATTTGTATTCAATCTATCTTAATTTCGATATGATTTGTCATAGTACGTGGGTACGTGGATTTAAAATCATCCAACCTTGTATATTAACTTTGTATTTAATATTTCTAAAAAAATTGTAGGGTATTTAATATTTTGTTGAATTATTTGAATTTAATGTCGTATTTAATATGAGGAATTGTTAATGTTTTACACAAAGTCAAATAGTTTTTGACACCTTGGAATGAAGTTATAATTATGTATTATTTTACTATCAATTATAGACAATGTCAAAGAGGACACTTTGGAATGACACCACCACAACTACATTTTTGAAGATTTGTGCTGAAGAAAAAGCAAAAGGAAATACTAAATATGATTGGAATAAAATTGTTAACAACCTTCATGTACAAACGGGTACTCTTTTTGATTGTAAGAAAGCGCGAAATCACTTTAGTGAGTTGAAAGATAAATACAAAGCATGGGTTGACCTTCAAAATTGCACTGGCATAAATTTTGATCCAGTTACGGGTGAAGTTCAAGTAGAAGAACGTTCATTAGATAGATGGAAAGCATATCAACAGGTAAAAATGCACTTACGTTTTTCTTTAATTTAAAATTCTACTCTAAATAAAAGTCATTTACTAATATTATTTAATTGTATTATTAAATATAAATATAAATATATCTTTTAGAAACATAAGCGACATGGAGCTACAGTTGCTAAGAAGCAGATGCCATATCTTCAGTACCTAGAAGCTTTATTCCAAGGACAAACTGCACATGGTGTACGGGGTAGCTCACCTGCTAGCGCTAGGATAACACCCATTCTTAATAGTAATGTCGTGGTAGAAAAGACTCAGAACATAAACACCGAAGAATCTTTTGATACCGGTAGTCCGGATGAAAATGAAAGTCATGATACAGTTTATGGTGAACAAAGTGATTCACCTATTATGGTAGATCAATCATCCACATCAACTAAGAAGCGAAAGGGAAAAAACAGCGTCGGTGAAAGCTTAGCACGAAAGCGAGGGGAAATAGATAGATGTTTAGAAATTGTGAAGCTTGCTTCAGTAAAAGAGCAATCTGTGATCGAAAAGGTGGCTAAACTTCTTGATGAGATGGAGGTTGACAAGAAATACGGTGATCAATATTATGTGGATGCAATGACCTTCTTAAGTGAAGGTAATAAGGGTGAGGTCTTTGTGACACTTTGATCTGAAAATCAGAGGTGGATGTTTCTACAGAAAGGAGTTCCTTACGGCAATCAAGATTGATATATGGCGTTTTGAACTTAAGATTATTTATTTTCAGCATGCTAAAGTTTTATCTATTCGTTTTGAACTTTTTATATGTTTGTTTGAACTAAAATTATGTGGATTGTTATCTTTTACAAACATATCGTGTTATCGTTGTTATAACATGTGTTTACCATTTGTTTTAATGTGCATTGGAATTCATTATTTTATTTGTGTAGAATGAATGTTGAAGTTAGACAGTCATGTCTAATTATTGCATTAGAAGAGCTCAGATCATTACTAGAAGATGATGAACAAAAGAAGACTAGGATACCAATGAGAGTAGGTGGAGAAACGGGAGGTGAATATATACATAGAATGTTGAATGGTCATCCTGGATTGTGTAAAGAGCAATTAAGGTTGACGAGAGAAATGTTCATTCATGTGGCAGAGCAAATTGGAATTGGTCTCTATATATTGGCCAAGGGAGCTTCTTACACAGATGCAGCTGATGTTTTTAAGCATTCTTTGAGAACCATATGCAAATATTTCAATCTAGTATTGCATGCCTTGGTTGAGTTATCTTTTGACATAATTCAACCACATCACAATTTGTTGGACGTCCACACCATAGTTTTCAACAGTTCCTTCTATTGGCCGTATTTCAAGGTATATTTATGAATTATTCAACGTTTTTAAAAGTCAATGAAAACTAATTTATTTTTGTATATGTGTTAGACTTTATTTATGTTTTTTATTTATTGTATTAGGATTCAGTTGGAGCATTAGATGGTACTCACATAGAAGCAGTTATATCAGATGCAAAGGGGGTGCCATTTCGAGGACGCAAAGGAGTCAAAACCTGGAATGTCTTAGCATGTTGTTCATTTGATAAACTATTCACGTTTGTCAATATTGGCTGGGAAGGAAGCGCTCACGACGTAAGAGTGTGGGTTGATTCCTTAATGCAATCAAAATATCATTTTCTTCACCCCCCACCAGGTATAAAATACAAATAAATTTATTATTAAAGGTTTTTGTAAATATAAAATAGTATCCTTTTAACAAAGTCAATTGAAAATGTAGGTAAATATTACTTAGTAGATTCAGGATATCCAAACACACTTGGATATTTAGCTCCATTTGATGATGCGGGAATGAGGAAACGCGTGCTCGAATTTCGTGACGGTGGTAAACCAAGAGGAGTAATGGAACATTTTAATTATCGCCACTCATCACTGAGAACTACCATTGAAAGAGCATTTTCGCATGTGAAGAAAAGATGGAAGATATTTCACAATATGCCCAAAATGAAAGAAGAGCATCAACAAGCAATTATTTTCTCTACTTTTACACTTCATAATTTTATCAGCATGTGCAAAATGGGAATGCCAATTTATGAACATGATGGGAATGGAGAAGGCATGGTTGATTCGGATATGTTCAACAATGGACGAAAAGAAGCTATGAACAATGTTCGCGTGGAAATTGTGAAACAAATTTGGGAAGACGTTCAGAAACCCAGAGCAACGGATGCATGATGATATTTACTATTTTATAGTACTTTTTTTGTTCTAAAAAGATTTATAGTTTACCCATTATTCATACAATTTTTTTACAAATCAAGATCATCTATATTATTCTGTCACTTGTATGACTTAAAATACGAACAGATTAAACCAAACAATAATAAAATAGTAAGTGTACTAATAATAACAACAATTACACTACTACTACTAGTTATAATAATAATAATAGTAGTAGTAGTAGTAATAATAGTATTAATAGTAATAATAGTAATAATACTACTACTAATAATAACAATAATAAAAATAATAATAAAAATAATACTAATAATAATAATAATAATAGTAATAATAATAGTAATAATAGTAATAATACTACTAATAATAATAACAATAATAACAATAACAACAACAACAACAATAATAATAATAAAATATGGTCTGGTCTGGTCTGGTTTGTTCTGGTCTGGTCTGGTCTGGTCTGGTTTGTTTGGGTCTGGTCTGGTCTGGTCTGGTCTGGTCTGTTCTGGTCTGGTCTGATCTGGTCTGTCTGGTCTGGTCTGGTCTGGTCTGGTCTGGAACAAATTACAGTCCAAGTAAAAACAACCTTAATACTAAATCATAAAACATTGTTTACATTTAATTTTCTAAATAAGCTTAAAAGGAAACTATTTTTTGAGAAAATTAAATTCAGATAACATTAATACAATCATTGTATAATACATGAATAATAAAATTAGACACGGAACATGCACGCAATATTAGCAACTGCATGAACCACTTTGTTAAAAGCTTAAAAGAGAATTTTAATTGTAGTTCTTTTATTAAGACTGAATAAATCTCGGGGTATTTTGAAATAAAAAATGGTTATAATCATTTATGTTCATGTTTGGTTGCTATGGTGGATAATTTCTTAATAATTAACTCTTTTGGACCCCATGATTTCACGTGGATTATTTTATTTAGGTCATATGTACTTTCTTGTGTTTATTTGTCCCTTTATAAAAATAGCAATTTGGCCTTAAACGTGCTTTCACAGTTTTATTAAGAGAAATTCACCATGCGTATGATTAAAATAATTGATCTTTCCCATTATATGACTAGGCAGTTATATTTTCTATTATACTGCCACATGCCATGCATAATAATAATAGATGGTATCTCCTGTTTTTTCCTTTTCCTGCCCCATACCAACTCATAGGTTTATCACTTTCACATGACTAGTCATATATTGGGAATCTCCCCATGTTCTGGTCATATGCCGGTAAATTTCCCTTTTATTAGCTTGGTCTTTTCCTAAAAGCGATATCACAATTTTCAATTAGAATCATGTTAGATTAAGTTATACTAGTATTCAAAAGCAAATAATCAGGATCCAAAACAAACATGTTAAGATCCATTTAGAGGGATGGATCCAATTCTAAGCAATTCATTATCGATTCGGGTGGTTTACCCCCTCAATTCAAGTTCAACTTCTTAATCGAGTTCACCCGTACACTAAGAAGTTGTTCTCTTCGTATGATCTGAATTTTTATGATTTGATCTGAATCTTTCTGATCTGATGTGAATCTTTCTGATCCGATCTGACTTGATCTGCATATGTCTGATCTGATCTGAATGTTTCCGATCTGATCTATTTAAATTTAATCTGATGTGTTTAAATTGGATCTAGTCATGGAGTCCAATATGTCCAAATGAATAATTATTTGAGTTTAATGTACCATACCCCCTCGTGTTATATGAATTTGGCGCGTTAGTCCCCTGTGATTTAAAAAATGCGTCAAACTCCCATGTGGTATAGTTATCCATGCACAAAAACCCTTATATGAACAAATTTAATTGACAAATAAATGAAGAATGATTAATTTTTTTTGTATAATTTAGAAATTTTGACAAAGTTACTTGCATATTACATCATATTATTAAGAAAGGTGATTTCAAAATCGTAAATTTGTTCTTGGAGGGCGCTATGCACATAAATAATTATAACGCAAGGGGTTTGAAGCATTTTTAAATCATAGGGAATAATGGATCAAATTTATATTTCATGAGAGAGTGTGGTGCATTAAACCCATAATTATTTTGAAAAGTTTGTTTGGAGCCAATGCTAAAATTAGTATATTTACTTTGTAGATTTATGGAATGTTTGGTTTTGGAGATGGTACAGTGGTACACCAACGAGTAGTACACTGTTGTGCTGGATTTTTTGTGAACGCTTTGGCTTGGTTCGCTTAAACTTTGTACCCACCATGTATCACTCCATTTAAAAGCAGTCCCTTTCTTCTGTTGCATTACATATACTGAATAACTCTGATTTGATAGCGACTCGATATAGTAATGTGACCATAATAGGTAAACAATTTTGATAAGCAGTCCCTTTCTTTTTTCTTTCGTGTTTCGATGTTTTCTTTTGGATTTAAATTTGCTGATCTGATCTGATTTGGTCTGAACTGGTCTACTATGATAAATGTCTGGTCTCTGTGTATTTTATAACAATGGAAGTCTGCTTTGGTTTGATCTGATTTGGTTTGATATGATCTTGTCTGAGACTGAAAATAGTTCAAAAGAAAACATCCTTAGTTTCTATTGTCTTTAAAGAAGGTCTTCAAACCTATTTTTTGCCTACACTTGTTCACCTCTATCCCCATGGGAGAGGAAGTCCTATATTTCTTCAAAGATTTACCTTTGAGGATAGAGGTTCTCCTCTGCTGTTTGTCAACACTACAGTTTACACAGAAATTTATTTACTTTCCCTCATAACAAATGCTTTCGTATATGCCCTTCATTATATTGCATAAAATATTCATACAACACTCACCATTGCAATCGGTAAAACTAGTGTCATTTCATAAGTGAATAAGGAATGACAAATAGGAAAATTGTAAGGAAAACTGTTAGGAACTTCAAGACAGTCGAAAGAGATGTCCAAAATGCCTTTATTCTATTCCTTCCCAAACTGTAAGAGTATACATATTAAGAGTTCCGCTCAGTCGTAGTTCCCGAACCAAATGTGCCTTCTATTTGTTATCCGGACCGCCCATATATTTCATATATCACAACTTCTAGCTATCATCGACAACGGCAGTGTTGACAAACAGGCCATCCCTTCTTTTAGGGAAAGCAGAAGTGTCAAGATTTCCACCCCTATATTTCAATTCCTGTGCTGCTCTGAAACTCTGATCAACAGAAGATGGTCTCGTATTTTGATATTGCAATTGAGACCCAAACCTTCCCGCTGGACCCGAACCTCTTAAACTGCTGTTCCTTAGGTCCATTATGTCTGAGCCCAGCTGTGTTCCATCCGTAACTGAGGTAGTAGAGCTGAAGTGGTCATCAGGGCCCCAAGATGTAAGTGCTTCCTTTTTATTGGCAAAAAAATGCCAGGCACCAAAAAGGAAAAGGATGAAGAGCAACACCGGACTTGCCCATAGCATGGTGTTAAATTCGTTCTTGAAAATCGGAAGATTAGAACGGTAAATTCCTATATAACCACTTCTTGTCCCGAGTACAACAAGCTTTTCCCGGTCACTAGCTAGAAGAGGAATCAGCATTTTCTTCTTTTGATTCAAATCATCAGATTGGTGATTGAGAAATGAATTTGCCACTTCATCAAGACCCGCAGAGAAAACGAGTTTGGGCACGCCAGCTCGAACATAATGCTGAGATGACACATTGTATACCCAAACCTTCTCCACGTTGGAGATGAGCAAATACCCTTTGATTGCCTGAAATGTGAGAGGCCCTTCCATGCCCGTTTCCAGCTTCTTTTTGGATCTCACACGGCACTTGAAGTTGATTATATCACCCAACAGGAGAACATGAATCATTTCTCCTTCAGACGTAAAGCCATATGCTTTTGACCATTCAATGGCATCGAAAACATAGGTTTTAGCTAAGGAGTTGTTTAAGCCTTCACATTCAGACTCCCTAATCCTCATTGTCCTCAAGTCCAATGACCCGGCACCCGTTTCGGTTAGGAACAAAAGCCTTTGCTTCAAGAAGGCGAGTGGTCTGCTTTTAGGCACTACCAAACCATAAACCGACCCATTCGCCCTAAAAACCCTAAGATTCCCGTCAAAATCTATTGACAAGACAAACCTGTTCCTCCCCATATGATGCACTTCCAAATTAGTAATTGACGATCCACCTTCCCCGGATTCGGGTGAATCGAACTTCCCAACAGTTTCTATATGAAGCATAGGCCACTCCTCCCCATTCTGCACCACCTCCCACACTCTATGCTTCAAAACCACACCATTCTTATGGCCAGTAACTAAAACACTCTCATTCTTGTAAAGTGTCATGAATGACGCAAGAGCAGTGATTGGGGAGTCCAATGATGTTTTAAACTCTGCAGAAATATCCCCATTTCTTGAAAAAACATATATTTGACCCTGAGAATCTCCAATCGAGATATACTTGCTCAACCCATCGAAATCTTTGAATGGCAGGACGTTAATACAACTAGGATCTGAATCCACTCTCACTGCAGAAACGAATTGGAACCTCTCAGACCAAAAAGAGCTGTACTTTGTAACTGAAACTGCTCGCTGTTTATCTCCAGGCTTCTCCAAGAAAGAATCACTAACACTAATACCCTCCACCTTCCCATCATATTTCTCTTCAATTACATCTTTTGGTAGGTTTCCAACACTGGGTTTTGCCGTATCTGGCTTTCTAATATCTGGATAATCCGAGAATCTTGACTTTAATTCCAACCTACCAACTATATTACTTAGATCCTTCACTAACCCCTCGAGCTTATCTAACTGTTCTTGGTGTCTAGCTAACACATCTAATAAAGCATCAGGTGTTGATTTATACGTCTCTTGAATTTCATTATCTTTCTCAATCACAGGGAATGATTCTGGTTCTGGTTGTGGTTCTGGTTCTGACTCTGAGTCAGAATAGGCCCAAGATATATGGAGAAAAGGAGACGATATAAGCAAACAGAAGAGAAAAAACTTGCCTTTACGGGAGCTGGCAGCCATTGATGGAAATGGGAGCTAGTTCGGAAGTTGTTCTATTCAGAGCCACAGAGACATTGAAAGAAGTGATATTGACTCGAGTGGAGTAGAGTTTCTAGGACAATAAGTAATCTTATCTTGACCGTACTTGATGATTCTTAGGGCAAGAATTACTGTAGATTATTAGA